TAGATAAACCGAAGCGAATGTGACATGCATTGCATTTGACAAATGGGAAGAAAGCTTTCCACCCCGATCACAGAGTAAAAGGGGGCCAGGAGAGAACATAACTCTTCTGCATTCGTTTTGATACATGAAGGTAAAGGAGATCATCATTTGCACCTAGGTGTATAGATTCTAGCAAGTGGGATTGCGAAGGAGCCAAACACATTCTTAGAAGCATGGCACTCTGTGAACAATTCGAGCAACAGATACGTTGAATTGCACACTATCCAAGCAAATCTAGGAGAAAAGAACCACAACCACACTCAAATACACCTAATGGAAAGGAGGCATCTGTAGTACGCTGGTAAGTAGTACCGCATGTTAACTGCTGCGCATCCAACAATAGTCCCGCGTTAGTTAAGGACATTGCGAGGATCGCCCGGTATCTAAGTTGGCAGAAACCCGCACCCGTCGGATTACAATGCAGGCTTGTGATCCTTAGGGCTACGAGCCGGCATACGCGTAATGGAAGCAGACACAATACCAGCAGCACAGACAGCTTGGTCAGTCGCGGAGGCAAATGGGCCATGGTCAAGGGGTATGGGTCGAAGAGGCCATTCTCTAAGGTCACTTGCTAAACCAACCAATGACGATGACCTAGATAAACGCACGCGTGTGACTAGTCGGTTCACACCAGCTTACGCATCGCCTCGTTACGCTACACACTAACTCACTGATAATGGCACCGCGAATGGTAACGTAACGTTTGTAGCAATGTTGTCAACCACAGCAAACAGCTCGTTTAGCAGATGAACACTCTGAGCTACCTACATTTACTGCTCTATCAAACTTTTTCGGGCGTGGAACAATTCAGCAAACACATGGTTGGGAAGACGTTATCCACCGACAAGTTTCAAAGTGCGCAGAACTATATTTCCTTCATGAATGCCTCAGGCGAAATGTTCTCCCACCGATTATGAACCACAAACCGGCCTTAGACCATCCAGATGCCTATGCTTTAGCTAAGCAGTGTAGGGAGGGTATGGTCAAGTGGATGGTAACAGATGGCCGTAATGGCCATCATAATTATGAAAATATTATATATATATATATATATATATATATATATATATATATATATATATATATTCAGCTGCTCACAGGTATCTGGTGAAGTAGACTGTCTCCAACATGTTTGTTGTGGGCGATACAAACACCGTCGTTGACTCAGCATCGGCAGAGACATGTATAGAAATTGTCGGTAGATTCGGAACGAGGTAGTCAGTGATTCCTCATAACGCTGTTACATCGTATGCGCGTTTATTGGACAGTACACATCAATCGCAATGGCAGCAAAGAATGAGGGTTATTTCCGTCGATTGACCAATCTGACCCATATTGCTGACGCTAAACCAACTCTTGTTTCCAGGGACCAGTTACCTGCATTGATAGCATCATTTGTGACCTCTACAGCTGTCTTTTGCTCAGTAGAAGATTATTTACAAAGGCAAGGAAAAATTAGTGTTGAGGACTGGGCCTTGAGGGCACGTGATATTCTCTGACTGCCAGTCCTTCGCTACCCTACATCTAGCCTCTGACTCAAATGTTTAGCAAGCAAGGCAGATTGGTACACGGCGGTTCTTTTGAAAGATTTCACTCAGAGTCTTTGCCTCAAAAGCTTGAGCCCATGTGGCATTGGAGAGTAAGTCCAGCTAAGGTGTATGATTGCAAACATCCATTAGGATCTGATTGAAGTAAGTCACATGCAGATTTGAAACGATCAACGTGTTTCAGCAACAGTATGTTACACATCTACGACTGCGACCAGCCTCAGGCGAGTGTCGACGGTTTTGCACCCATTTGACTAGAAGTTATCTGATCCGCAACGGGTGGTAGCAAACTCGTAAGCATAAGATAATGCTCTCTGACTGTCAAAAACAATGCGTGACTTTAGTACTCTCTGCCAACTGAGCTGTGTTTAGTAACTGGAGACTAGTTTTCGTTCATGGCTAAGTATTAAAGGAAGTGGAGCGTTTACCTATTCTCAATCACCAAAGAGAATTCTGAGACTTAATTGATCTGACCCCTAACCATGGACCTGCCTAGTATGACTGGCCCTGAACGCACTTGAAAAGTGCCACCCAGCGTAGCTCACTGACTCTCGGAGGTACGAATGCCTTCACACCACGTTAAGATCCAGTCTTCCCGCAATGGCTCTAGTCGTATTTTCAGTAAAAACACATGCATATTTACCGCAAGTGACCAACGGATCTCGGATGAGTAACCGATTTATGTGCCCATGGTTCTTCCAATTCATTCACCTGAAAAATTCTCCAGCATATCCTTACACATAAACTACTACGTTATGACATTTTGCGAATCCACCTGTGTTGAGCACAGATGTGTGCGACCAATAAAATATGATCATTGTGAGTGTTAAGGCTGAGCTGAAAATTTTATTGAGCAAAGTCCATCCAAACCATGTCTGATTGACCCAGCCAAGTGCACCCAAATCGATTATCTCTGCGCACAGCTATCAGTCCCTTGTACTGAGGGGGGCCGTACTTCATAACCGCGTATACTAGGCTATGGTAATCAGCGAGTGAATGGTTTCACTTCAAGTTGATATTAGAGCTACCAAATATTTTCCATCTTACCTTTTCTCTTAATGTCTTCATCGTAGTATGCCTTTCTGGGTACAGAATTATATCCGCAATTCATAAAGATTTTTAGCATCAACTAATCCTATGTTATCACCAAAGGAATGTGACGTGTGATTGTACCAACTTTTTATAAAAAGAAGATGGTCAAGCTGTCTGCCTTGCTGCTAAGCTGTTGGTTTTTCAAAGGCGTTCAGGTTATTTTCGATTATCTCCTATACACAGTTCGTGTACTCTCAGCTTAGTGTAATCCACCTATGCTCGACAACTATGTTGCTACAATTGGTTTACTTACTCATTATTCTTTCAGCTTTCATGAACGAATCCAACAGCATTTCGAGATTTCGTAAACAACATGATGAATACGTTGCTTATAATCTTTCTTTCTTTGCCCAAATATTCCTTTGCTGGCCTCCATGTGAGTTTGATAGACTACGTGTATTGCGATGATGCCATCCAAAATGAGTACACTCAGACAATGGCTGATAGTTTTCTGCTATCTGAAGGTGAAAGTTTGAAGTTGGACTGCGGAGTATGCAAGTTTTGCTCAGCGATGGCAAAGGAATGCAATGAAAAATCTGATTATGAAGGATGGACTATACAACGCTCAAGGTATTTAGGATACGGGGGGTCTATTGAGGGCGAACTCAATGATGCCCCGTTTGAACTCCCAAAAATACGAATGAGGTAAGTTGTTGTTACGCGTATGGTAAATAGAGCTTTTGTTTTGTAGCACAACGGATAATAGCATGAATAAGTTTTAATAATATTGTAGTATCGTAACAGCATGCATTCCCGTTCCGGAAGTTTTAGATAGGCCAGTAAGAGAAATAAAACACAGTTTATTTTTCATAGTGGACAAGCTGTAAATAATACCATCATAGTAATTTGCACCCATTTACCACCATCCATTTGCCTCCTCATTTTAAGTTTACCGAGGCCAATGATTGCACAATCATCGCTAACTTGAGCATTTTGTCGTGAATTTGTTTGGTGTTGTTTAAGTCTTGTGAACGTATCTAATTTAGCCTTGTAGGAAAAAGTATACATATATATATATATATATATATTTGCAGTCTAAGAATAGACGTACTGCCATCAGAAACCATGGGATTCAAACGAAGATACAGTACACAAGGCCGTGGCACGGCCGTAGCCGGTTCCACACAGAATGGAACCACTCTTTGAACCAAGCACAGTCACGAGAACGGTGCACTCCGTCCCATCCAGCAAGGACAAACTGTCACCTGGAACCAGTATGGTAAAGGTGGTGGGCAACAGACAGATAGACACCTTGTCAACTTCCACATCAGGCGCAGCCACATTGGGGAGCTCAGTCAGCATCTAACCCTTACAATACAAGAATGCTCAACGCGCAGCCGTTTTATTGGCCTGCACTAGTAACTGGAATGGGGGCGCATTCGTCGCGCTTCTCCTCCGGGTGCAATAGTGCGTTCTTCTGCACCTGGGCAACCGCTCTCATGATCACCCCACGGCATTAATACCGATCAAATCTAGCTTTGATTCGCAACACCTGCAATCAACATTAGTTCGTGATAAATTCACCTAGTTCATGTCCTGTTAACGTACTTTTGGTTTGCCCACCTAACTCTTCCCTGCACTAAGTTGGCCGTACAAAAGGCTGTGTGAGTATCCTTGTCGAAGTCATTTGATGTTCAGATATATGTGGATTGGCGGCATTCGTGTGGGCTGGCAGTTAGAATGCACATGCGTCTATCCAAACTTAAGTATGAACTATCTCAAACTGGATAGAGACTCACCAAACCTCATGAACAATAGTACTATAAACATGCATGCGTTTCCTTTGGAGGTTAGGCTAACAGCCACTTACTCAGTCCTGAGTATGTGTACCCAATACGAACTGTCGGTGTTTTCTTTAAAGAAGTTAGTTTCCTGCAGCAATATGAAAAGCACGGCAAGAATACGAAGGCTGGTCGATGCATGCATTTCGTATTGTCTCCTCAGTACCATGAAAAATAACTGATATACATAGATATAGCTAACAGTGGATGCAACCAGACAAGCTTAAGGTATAGAACGAATGACGAAAGTTCATACCTACGTCCAAGGCAGATTTAGGCTGACAAACAATTGTTTCTGAACACACAAGGCTGTCTTAATTCGGCCTATAGCGACAGCCTCAACAAACCGAAGGAATCGGGGATTAGGGTAAAGTAACACAAGTTTAAACGCTGAGCCCAGCTCTATCCGGTGACCCGAGTCTAATGGGTGTTTGCCTATCGAGGAAGCTGATGATCTGCGCCAACATGGAATCTGACGAGGGTAGGCAATCTGAGCAACTTCACGTTGGACCCATCTTGGTACATGTTCCTTTAGTCGGGAAGTCAGCGTTCTATTAGTTCTGCCTATGTAACTTTTTCCCCAGTAACATTCAAATTGGTATACACACTGTGATTTGGCCCCAACAGGCTGAGCTTTCTTCGTTGGAGGTATGGGCAAATTTCGGGTTCGGTTGATGATGACAACTTGTGCAGCATAGTAACTCCCTTGTGTAGCCGAAATTATGCGCTTACTTGTCTTCAGCGTGGCTAAGTCACCATTGAAAGGTAACTCGGTATACACATTCTTCTTGGCTGACGTGTGCACCAAGTCCTCGGGCCCTCGCGGTTGGCTGTGTTTCTCGATAAATCTTCGAGGGTGATCGTTCGCAATTAGTGTTGCTGTAATTAACACTAACTCATCGTTCAGACATTCGGCCTAACAAATTCGTCTGACACAACTAACTAGAGTCTTCATAAGTGTCCGTTTGTACCGCACTGGTGTGAAGCTGGTGAAGTGCAGGTACTGACCGGACCAAATGGACATCTTAAACAATTCATCATCTCTGCGACTTACGAGTATGTCCAGGTATGTCCAGGTACAAACTCACATTTGTGAAGACTCTAGTTAGTCGTGCCAGTGTTAATTACAACAATAAATGAATCCCTCCTGGCAGCAGGTGTGTGGATCAAATCATGGAACAACGCCACTTTTAGCAGAGGCCTACCATCCTTGTATTCCTAGACATCCGTGCTGCATTCGACTCACTTGATCCACCCGTGCTATGGCGTTGTTTGATGAAGAACAGAGTCTCAGAAAAAATACACTGCCACCCTACGCACACTCTACTTCCACATCTTCGGCGGAGTGAGGGTCTATGGTCGGTTTTCATCCTCCTTCGCTGTCAATAGCGGTGTACGACTAGGCTGCCCTGTGTCCCCGTTCCTCTTCAATTTTGCAGTTTAAGACGTCCTATCGTGAGCTATAAAATGTTAGCAAAACTTTCTCTCAAAACGCTCCTGCGTTACATGCCAGCTACAATTTCTCGATCACATCACGACTATGATTGACAGAGGAATGGCAATTATTATAATTCTGTTGGACATGCAAAAGGCGTTCGACCGTGTGCCACACCAGCCACTGCTGTCTGCTCTAGAGTCATATGGAATTGGAAATCCGCTGCTTAACTGGTTCGACTCATACCTAAACGGTCGAACTCAGGTCGTTAAAATCGGTCAGCAACATTCTACGCCGAAGCCAATAACCAGCGGTGTCTTCCAGGAAAGTGTGCTCGGACCGCTACTTTTCTTAATCTATGTAAACAATATATGTGACCCGATCAAACATGGACATCCATTTCTGTTTGCAGATGATGTCAAACTGGTTTACGCATTTCATCCAGACCAACTACATATGTGTTTGGGAAATATCTGTGAGGACCTATCCGCAGTAAATACAGCTAGTGAGCGCTTAATAATGAAGTTCTCCGCAGTGAAATCCCAAGTACTTGGGTAAAGATGCCGCATCCCAGAAGGCTCCATTATACTTGCCGGAAACGTGATCCCAACGTCTGATTCAGTTCGGGACTTAGGAATTAGGTACTCCAACTCTTTCAATTTCTCCGAACATGTTCTTTATCAGGTTGCGAAAGCAAGGCAGCTATGCGGATATATCACCAGAACTTTCTCCCTACCTGAAGTACGACTTGAATCATTCAAGACAATCGTACGACCGACTCTGGAATATTGTACTATCCTTCACAGCCAATTGAGAAAAAAAGACAGAACGGTTCTAGAAAATGTCCAACGATCAATTACAAAACTGCTCATGGGACGCTTCTCAATCCTGACTTATTATGATCGCTGTCGAAAACTCCAGCTGGATCCACTTTGGCTGAGACGCTTAAGGAACAACCTCGTTCTCTTCTACAACATTATAAACCAACGAATTTACGCAGACAGCACCGCACTTGAACTACGGAAGACTGCAGTCTACCCCACACGTAATGGCGGCTACTTGATACGTACAAACCTTTCAAGTCATAAAATTCGGTCGAATTTCTTCTTAGTGAGATACACTTATCTGTGGAACAAACTACCCCTGCAGATACGCATGTGTACAAGCCATGTCACTTTCGAAATCTCCTTCAGACCTTCCTCACTATACCAAATGCTCTGAAGATATTTGACTCACAGCAAACACTAGAAACATTGACAGAAGTTGGTATAAAAAACATTTGATAATAGCTTACAGCTAGCTTACCCACTACATGTCATTACATACCATACCAAATCCTGTGTCTTTGCAGCCTAATAGTCCCTTCGTTTATTATCTACTCCTGACGATACAAACATCCGTAAATTTTACATATGAGTTGCACGGGTCTAGGACTCAAGCAAAAGTAATCATGATCCGAAATGCTATCAATAAACTTTTATTTAATGTTAGGAAACGTGTTCACTATACAAATGATCGCTCCCAATTATGCGGCCGTATACCGTCCGTCGGTAAACATACAAATTTATTTATTTATTTAGGTATAACAGGGTAAGCGAGCGACCGACTTAATTTATGCCGATGATATCGCCCTACTTGGTGACGGCTCACAGAGCATGAAAATCATTATAGAACCTTTGGCGATTGAGGCATCTAGGTACAGAATTCGCTTTGCCCCGTAAAAATCACATGCACACGTTCCCGTGCTCACCATAAAAGATACACAGCTCGAACAAGTGGATAGGTTTGTCTACATAGGCAGCTGTGTCTGTTGGTGTTACCAATGGAAAGGAAGTTTCGCTTCGTACCGCCAAACTTCGGTCAGCGTTTGTCAACTTGAAACACTTACTCCGTAGACAGGATGTATCCCAATTGATAGAGGGTCGTATTTACAATGCCACTGTTGAGGCAGTGTAATTATATGGAAGAAGAGGTCGGACACAGGTGAATGATCAGCTGACGGACTGATACCCCACCATTAGCGGTGTACCCCAAGGCACAGTGCCGGGGACCAATTTATTTCTAATCCACCCAAACGAAGTGCCTCAGCTCCTTCGGTTGCCTTGTACATTGTTTGCAGACGACTCGAAAATTTAGGGGCTACTGTTTCTCCAAATGACTGTGACGTCCTTAAGCAGGACCTCGACCGCCTATCCCGGTGGTCTGCAGAAGTTGACCTACCGGTCAACCCGGCCAAATCTTTAGGAGCTTTGAAAGGAGTGGTAATGAGCATGTGTACACTTCAGGTCGGCCACCCGCCGCGTCCCGACAGTTCCATAAAATAAATAGGCGTGGTTGAGGCAGCTAGGTAAGGAATGTTATTCGCCTCTTCAATGTGTAAAGTACTGCTTCAGGATTGGCACTCACCCGTTCCCGTCCTCACCATTGAA